TTAGGGCTTAGGGTTTACGGCAAGCGGGTCTAAGCCAGTCACGCACGACCGAGCCCTGAACCCGACAATATCCTCATGCAGATCCTGAGCTAAGCTGCCCTTTAGTTCTTCAATACCGAACCTTTCTATAAACTTGTCGCGATATTGGGGTGATTGGTTAACCTTGGGCACCATGTTAATGCTTTTTTTTTCAGAGGACCCAACCTTAAACCCCCTCAGAGGACCTGATGACCTGGAAGGGCGTAAACCGGCAGCGGCGCGAGAACACGCCACTCTGTGCACGCAATCCTAAGGGCCGGGTCGTTAGGCTGTTGCCTGAGGAGTCCTTGACGGTTTAGGTTTAGGGTTTGGCTTGTTTGGTGCTTCATCCCGTTGTCAATATAGAAGCCTGAGAAATTACCAGCATGGTGACTTAAGTAGGGGGTTCCTCGTTTGAAGTATACCATAATGTAGTCCATAGTCCTATGCTATCTCGTGAGGCCCCTACATAGGGCTTTTGGTGCTACATCCCGATGTTCGGCTCTGGACTTGCTTCTCCCGAACCGCTCTCGTTGCTTCTTGGGGCTTTCGGAGTCTGCTTTGTGGTGGTGTACGTACAAGATGTCACGTAGGGTTTGCTTCTTCCGTGGCCAAGGAAGGCAGCGCGCAAAGCCCTCCTGGAGAGGGAGGCTTTTGGGGCTTCTACCTATAGTCTCCATTGTGGTTCCTTTTTGCGCTGAACCAGTTCTATGGTTAGGATCCGATAATATAAATTTGGTTAACCAAAAAATGGAACTACAATGGAGACTACAGGTAGGGTCCACGGGGCTTGACAGAGGGATGAAAACTACGGCTGCATTTGATCGGGCTGTACGGTCTAAATCGGGTGCCTTTGGATTTGCTCGTGTGCCTCTTAGAGGGCTCTTCTGGGCCGAAAACGGGTTCTATAAGGCTTGTTTAGTTGGCTTACGAAGGCCCTATAAACTCTAAACCCTACTTAGAGGCTCATGGAACTTAGTAATTAGGGTTATAGATAAGGTAACTATAGTTATATTTAACTATTCCTCCAATTAAGGTACCGATAGCCTTACTTACTAAGTCCCCATGATCCTCCAAAGAAAACCCTAGACCTTAAACCCTAAATATGGGGGTTTCCGAAAATAGGGGTGCGCCTTATTTTGGGGTTCTTATAATGAGGATGCTACTATTTAGGGTACTATATTAGGGTCCCCTATTTTCGGAAACCCCCAGATGAGTTCGTTGGACTTTGCCCCGGCCCGACTTAGAAGGCGGCGGGTGGACCTCCAGTGCTTTACAAGACCGACCTCATTGAAATGAGGCCACGTGGCAGAATCCAGACCTTAAGCGGTTAAGGTTTAGGGTTTAGGGCCTTTAGGGACCCCCAACCCCAAACCCCAAATCCAAGACCTGACCCAGAGAACCTAATACCCCTAAGACCCCTGTAATTTAAGGTACATTCCTTTATGAACGGGTATTGGGTTCGCAGGGGATCCCTAAGCCCTAAGCCCTAAACCCTAATTCTCTGGGGATTCTCAGCTCGGGACCGCGAGCTGTAGTTGATTCTGGGAATCTTCGCCTCGATGGTCTGCAGGATCCCATGTTCGGCTTTAGTTAGGGGCTATCCCTAAACCCCTCAGCGGCCCTAAATGGCCCTAAACCCCTTTAAACCCTAAGGCTCTAGGTTTTCTTTTGTCGGATTTTGGATGCTGTGAATAGCCTTGAATTGTCAAGAATCCTGGGCCGTTTCTGCCCAAATCTCTTGCAAAGATTCGAAGCGTAGCTTTACATTTCTCGGGTTTGGGGGCTAAGTCCAGGGTCTAGGAATTCGGGTACTTGTGGCCCTAAAACCTATAGGGTTTAGGGTATAGGGTTTCGGGTTTCGGGTTTATAAGCCCTAAACCCTAAACCCTATAAACCCTAAACATCGTGGTGCCGAACCGAGGCTGCAGGGCGTGTGCTATGCAAACCCAGCCTCCCGGCGGCAAGAGCTCCTCTCAAGGAGCTGGTCGCCTGCGCGACGCCCCTTTTTCGATTGAGGATCTTCGGGAGTTGGGATCCTGTCTCGTATTCTATTTATATCGTAGAATCGACCCCAAGACCCTATTCTAATCATTACGGCCCCTACTTTAGTCTGGGGGCGATTCTCCTTGACCCCTCTACCCTATAACCGTGAGGGTTTACTGCTTGGCAGTTCATTTGCAACGGAGCGGACTCCACTACACTCTTTCAAGGTCCCGATATTTCAGCAAAGATGTTGTTCGTTGGGCTTTTAGGGTTTAGGGATATTTAGAGTTTGGGGTTTAAGGGTTTCAGGGTTTAGGGTGTTTTAGTGCTCAGCTGTGAGATGCATCACGGACGCCCGGTGGTTGATAGCACCAACTCCCCGAAGTCTTGCTGGCACCCGCGTCGATACTCTGAGAGGTGCTTTGTAGCTTTGTAGTGTCTAGGTAGGCCTTTGGGACATTTTATATTTTCCCTTATTGGGCTAAGAGGATCTTATTTACGAATATTTGAATATTTTTCAGAGGCTTTGAGGGGCCAACCTAGGTGTAACAGCCAGCACGAAGCAGCATTCTTGCATTGCCATGGAAGGAGCAACTAGGCTTGCGGAGTGCCAAAGTACAACACAGGTACCCATGCATGGGCTGAATTGTAGTTCCTTCTTGGTATTACCTTTTAGGAAACTAAATATGAACCACAAAAAGGAACTGCCTTGGAGCCTATGGGTAGTTCACGCCGAATGTACACCTCTCCGCTCCGACAGTTATTCTGGCGTTCATGGTCAGAGACGTCTCTCAACGTGCACCGTCAACCCGTCAGAGCACATATCACACCCGATCGCAACACTTTAGACTGTGATTGTAGCCCGAAGCCCTACACCCGAACCCACAAGCCTGAGCTGCCAATTCCTGCAAAGCTCCACACCAACTAAGGCCAAGACGCTCTTCAGCAAAGTGGACGCCGCTCCGCCGCCCTTGAGGCTTTGTAAATATCCATCCTTCGAAGACATCAAGACAGGGTTCTTGCTAAGGATCTTTTAACAATCTAAGTTATCTTAATGGGATCTATAGTATGCAATATGTTTCCTTATTACGGTAACTAAGGTTAGTCTCCTCGACAAGAACCTCAACCTATAAATGAAATTATTCCCAAACAAAAACGACCCTAAACCCTAAACCCTTTGTGAGAATGGGGTCAGGAGGCTCTTGCCGAGATCCCCAGCTTGACCCCAAAAGCACAAAACGCCGTCATCAGCCCTGAACTACATCCATGATTTTGGACCTAGGAATTCGGGTTTAGGGTGTAGGGCTTCGGAACTAGGGTTTAGGGCTTCGGATTGCCGATTTAGGGTTGAGTTTAGGGTTCGACGTGGCCCAGAGCCCTCAACTTCCAACTTGGGACTGCTTGCAGGCTGAAGCCACCACGTTTGACACCCCCAGCAAGGTCTAACTATTATCATTCTCATCGTTACAGTTGCTACTACTATTACTGTCACTATATATGTGATTACTATGAGCATTACTATTTTCCGCAACCTTTGACACCCCCACCAAGGTCACCATTCCACAAGGAAAGCTCGTGGCAGTGAATGGATCGCATGGCTCCGGGAAAGCCACCCTCATGAGGCAGGCCATGGCCGTTGGGTTTAGGGTTTAGAAACGGTTTAGGGTCTAGGGTTTAGGGGTTCGGGGTTTGGGATTAATGCTTTTAGAGCTTTAGGGGTTTAGGGTTTAGGCAAGCTTCCAGTCTTCTGCGAGGGACGGCGTGCGTAAACTGCGGCCACTGGCCACTTCCTGTGGCCATGTACCCAAACAGGAGAAAGTAGGATTTCAATAATAAAAGGAACTACTATTATGGTTTGGGCAAGTCTCCCCGAAGAAGGCATTTCGAGGGCAGGGACTCAATTACATCCGACGCCGAAGAAGCTTAATATGTTGTTTTTTTTGTTTTTTTCTGGGGATGTGCTTCTCTGTAGTGCGGCCTCCTCGAAAAGCATTGACACTGCCTGGAGGCTGCTCGCGCACATCATCTTCCCTCAGGAGAGGAGCCGTGCACGTCTCTTGGTGTGGGCGCCCCCTTGAAGCACACACCGCTTCGAATCATGCACTGGGTAAACAATAGAGGCCTGAATAATTGCCTGTATATTCCTTACGGTTCCTTATTATAACTATCCGATTCAGGAGCCCAAAGCCCTATTCTAGTTAGTAAGGCCCCTACATTGCAACCACGCAGCTGCGAACTTGCCAGCCTTGCGCGTCATCGTTTTGATTTGAGTCTTCATGTTCTGAGAGCACCCCTTTAGGGTTTAGGTTGTTGTCGGTTTAGGGTTAACGGTTTGGGTTTTGGCGTCCCCTCTTTCAATCTAGCCCTGATGTACGATTAGCAATCCTTCCGTGCAACGATACCTCTCCAGGACGGCTGCATATTCGTCCCGTCGCACCTTCGCATCCTTCATCTGGCGCAGGAGCCAATGCTCCTAAATGCCTCTTGGCAAGGGTACTGTAGTGGCCTGGACAACGCACTGCGCACCCACCCCTTTTATACCAAGTACTCGTATACACACATACATACATACATA